TAACTAATGGTAAGATAATGCTATCTAAAGGAGGAGGAAAAGAATAAAGACTTTATTTTGAGTAGGTAGAACACTCGTAGTTGCTTGCTCATAAACATTTCAAAATAAAATATCTTTCAAACACACCAACACTTTCATGAAATATTTTTAAAAGTCAACACTTTGTATATATTCTTATAGAGACGAGAATCATTACAAAGTTCGCCTAAACGAAGGAACTTTTCAAAAATACTTTCAAACAAACACATTCACAAAAGCATTTCAAAGTGAGCTAGCAACTAAGAGCCCTTTTCACAACCTACCCCCCGAACTTAAGAAAATTCTCAAAAGGTCTTTCTTGTTCTTTTAACCCTTTCCTTTATTGGATAAAAGAAAAGTCGGTGGCGACTCTTGCTATCTGCAACAATTGCGATAAAACACAAAACACCCAAGTCAGTTCTCCCACCGTATCACAGAACTGGTGACTCAGCTGGGGAAGTACTTAAAAGTGGGGATACCTTAGAGATTAGTTCACATTTAAATGCTTTCATTGTTTGACTTGCTTTCTTTACTCTTAAAAGGGTGTTTGGGTTTTGTATAGATCCTTTACCCGGATCTGGGGGCATTATTAGGTAAGTAGCAATAGATCATGGAAACTATACGGCATAAATCGACATGGTTGAAGTGATGACTATGTTAGTGTGACACATTTATTGGTACTGGTATCCTTTATGTTGAATCAAGGAGAATACGAGGCCGCTGTGTAGTGTCATGAAGCACTAACTGACCATAGAACATTTAGTTGAACAACTTGGCCATTAGGAAGTAGTGAGATAGTCTGCTTTGGTGGAAAAATGAAGATTGGTTGATACTCGATACTACACTCATTGAGATCGGACTTTCGGGATATTTTGGCCGCAAGAAAAGATTGATTGTGCTAAGATAATACCCGACGAAGAAAGATCAGTGATTTTGAGATTCCCTAAAACTCGGTTACTTTTTTAGGACAGGTTGAACCAACTAAAACTTCAAGAGGGTACTTACCTATAAACCCCATGCAAGCCTAAACCTAAGGATTTGTTTTGCTTTGCTTGTATATGATTATTTGTACATAACATTATGACATCATACCATAGCATTTTCACTAACCATTTCAAGGACCTAGGGATTTATCTTTGTTCTGTTTTGTAGGATATGGCTTCCACTCGCAGAAATACCATCTGAATCGGATTTGTAAAAGTGCCTCCTCAACTCAAAGAGTTAGCATCAAGGGTTCCTGAAAACTCTCCATTCGCAAAAAGATATGGTTGACTTCTCAACTTGGCTACCTCAAGCTTTGAAGAGAAAATGATGGGTGTGCTCTTTCAATTCTTTGACCCTAAACATCATTGTTTCACATTTCATGATTATCAATTGGTGCCCACAATGGAAGAGTTCTCTCAACTATTGGGAGTGCCTATTCTTGATCAAATACCTTTCACCGATCTGGAGAAAGATCCAGGACTTTAGGAGATTGCATCAGCCTTACATTTTCAACAGTATGACATTGTAGCCAATTGGGAAACAAGGAGCGGAGTCAAGGGTTTCCTAGATAAGTTTCTAATAGAAAAGGCACAACTGTTTTAGGAGGTTCTAGATTTGCAAGCTTTTGAAGAATTTTTGGCTCTTCTAATCTATGGGTTGGTACTGTTACCTAATCCAGACTAACTTATAGATATGAATACGGTTAAAATTTTCCTCTCTCGTAACCCCGTGCCTACTTTGCTCGGAGGCACTTTGCACTCTTTTCACACGCGTACCATGAAGAGAAGAGGGATCCTTATGTGTTGCATACCATTGCTTTCTAGGCGGTTCATTTCACACCTTCCTCGATCTGCTTTGAAGAACGAACAAGGCTTGGGGTGGTCCTAAAGGTTGATGTCGCTCTCATATTCGGCTATTCATTGGTGTTCCTGATCTTTGGAGGATGTTACCATCATTGACCATTATGGGGAATTCCCTAATGTCCCACTCCTCGGCATTAGGGGAGGCATTACTTATAATCCTTCTTTGGATCTACGACAGTTTGGTTATGCTTGAAGGGATGGTCCTCATGATGCACTTATTCGAAGTATTGCATTCGACTACGAGAATAATGTCCAAGGTTATCATCAAAGATTTGTACGAGCTTAGGGCATGGTAAACAAGGTTGATAGCAAGACTTTGGGGCATAAGAGCTCTATTCCTTTGGAGCCTTATCTCAAGTGGGTGAGAGCTTGCGCTCAAAACCTTATGATGTCATATCCAGCCATCCTGCCAATAATTATGGAGCCTGTTGCCAAAAGGGATGTTCCTCATACAATTCTCCATCCTAACATGCCTACGAACCTCAAAGAAAATAAAAGATCTTGGATTCAACTCAAAGAGGAACGAGACACCTTTGAAGCCCAATTCTACACAAGCGAAAAGAAAGTGTTAAAGCTTACAAGGCAACTTCACGAGGAGCAAAGCTTGAATGCTTACATTGCACCAAAGAGGACGCGCCCGTAGGAGATCTGAGTCTTTTGTTTTAGGATTTAATTCTGTTGTCTCTTTGAGACCTTTTTGATTTTTCATTGTAAGCCCAAGGGGAAATTGTAATCTTTGAACTTATTAATATAATTGTGGTGTTTGTTTCCTTTCTGGCTAAGCAAATTTAAATTCCTTAAGGTCCTTGAAATCATTGCATCCACATAGCATGGATCATATCATAAGAAAGTTTTTCGATACTAGTTTCCTCATCTTTATACTGTTTATTTCAGTATAATATGGATCTTGAACAAACCGTCAAGGACTTGCAGACTCAACACTCTCAGTTCCAAGAGACTATGCTCAACTTAGCAAAGGGTCAACAAGAAATGATGGTGCTTCTCGTCACGAATAAAAAGACCAAGAAGAGAGTTGTTATCAACACGGGGAAGAGGTTCAAAGGCCCTGGCCGACAAGTTCAAATTGAAGAGGACTCCTTCGAAGATGATGATAATCAAGATGAAGATTCTAGAAGCACCCGCGCTGGGGGTGGGAATAACCAAATTTCTGAGGACAAGGATTACTCTTAAGAACAATACCCGCCGGAAGACGAGAAATACAAACAGCTTGAAGACAGACTCAAGGCTATAAAAATTCAAAAGTTATTCCGCATAAATTCAAAGTCCCTGCCTTCTCCAAGTATGACGGGGTCTCTTGTCCTAAGATGCATCTGAGATCTTATGTCCGCAAAATTCAACCACATACCACTGATCAAAAGTTGTGGTTTCACTCTTTCCAAGAAAGTTTATCTAGAATACAGCTAGAATGGTTTTATCAACTTGGGGGGACTAATATCCACACCTGGGAGGACCTAGCTGCTGCTTTCTACAAGCAGTACCAATACAACGCTGATCTTGCACCAACTCAGGTGCAATTGTAAGGCATGACTATGGGTTTAAATGAGGGCTTCAAAGAGTACGCCCCAAAATGGAGAGATCTGGCAGGCAGAGTACAACCACCTCTCACTGATAGAGAATTGGTAGACATGTTTATGGGAATACTGACTGGTCATTTCTTCAACTTGCTGATTGGAAGTTCATCATCCAAATTTACTGAATTGATCTTGACTGGCGAGAGGGTTGAAAGCGGGATTAAAAATGGGAAGGTACCAATGTCCTCTACCTGTAATGTTGTGAAAAAACCATTTTCTGGCAAAAAGGAGACTAATGTTATGTATGGGAAAATGAGCCATGCTAAGAAGGACCGTCATCATTCAGTAGGGGCAATTTTAATTTCCAATCCTACATATATTCAACAACAACAAGGGAATAGGCATAGGACGAAATTTAAAGAAAGGAAGTATACTAAGATTAATATGCCATTATCACAAGCGTTATAACAGTTTCTAAAAGCGGAACTGATTACACTAAGGGATCCTCCCCACAACCCTGATACCTCATCTCCTAAATACAATCCCAATGAAAAATTTACTTACCATTCAAACAATCTCGGACATGATACCAATGATTGTTGGTCTTTCAAGAATAAAATCCAAGACTTTATCGACAATAAAACAATTGAATTCAACCCTCTATCGACTCCCAATATGATCACTGCACCCATGCCCAGTCATGGTAAGGGTGTCAATGCTATTGAAGAGGCCTCTTTTGTTTCCTTCATCAATGATTTAACCACTCCTTTGATGATCATTAAAAAGAATCTGTTGAAAGCTGGTTGTCATACCCCAAATTTGCCATACCCTAATATTATATCTAGGGCCTCTTCAATAAATCATATTATTTAGTTTTTATTTCTATGGGGGTGCAAAATTATGGAAGAGGGGTATGATTTACCCAAAATGGACCATCAATATCTGATGACCCATTAGATTTATAAAAGTGTATTTCAAATTTAAAAGAGAGGTGTATTATTTTTACAACAAGGAGGTGTGAATAATTCTTTTTATTAAGGCTCATTAAAATTTCATTCGTTTTTAAAGAGAGAGAAAAAAAAGGTAATTAATTTCTTCTAAGAAGTCCAATAAGACTTTGGCCCAAACTAGTTTTCTTTGGTTTATTTGAAAAATTGTTTTATTTGATCATAACATCATTACTAATATTACCATTTTATGATAATTGCTTTTAATAATTATTGATAATTTCTTTATTAAATTTTTTAATAATTAAAAGAGGTTGGTGTTTGTGTTTGGATAAGGGAAGAACGCATAACTCTTGGCCTGTAACCAAAGCAGATCCAATCCAACATAGAAGCAAAAACACGCACAACTTAAAACCCATTTCAGGCCCAGCAATAGTCACACAGTTGTTATCAAAGAGGGACAGACTTAAAAACAAAATCAACTGAATCAGAAACAAAATCCAGGTATAAGTAGAAACGATTTTATCAACATTCAAAAAATTTAAGACATAATCAAACAGAAATAAAAACAAATCAAATGTTGCATAATCAATTACGACAAGAATCAAAACATAATTCCTAATTCTAAAAATAAAACAACCTAATAATGTTGTTTCCTAAAATATGATTCTTGATTCGCTATAAAAACTCAAAGTTACAGTAAGAGAGGGAGGGGAAAAAACATTACAGGAGCAAGAAAAGGAAAAGGGGCCCTCAATCATTGCCAACGGCTCAGATCCGACGAGCCACTGAAGCCTCCTCTCGCCATCCATCCACCACGGTTCAACTCCAGCCACCACACACAAGACTAGTGCTCCGCTTCCGTACCTCCACGACCAAACTGCCATAGCCAGCGACGCTCCAATCTCGCAGTAACCCATATCGCGACCCTCTAACCTCCTATCCATATCGCGACCCAGCTCCGAAGAAAATATGCTCTAACATTGTCGGAGATCATCGGAACATCACCGGTCTTGCTCCCAACCATGAATGCATGAGCTGCTCCAGTCTCGGCACCATATCCATCTGGTGCTTCTTCTTTTCTTTTTATTTGGTGTTTGATGTAGCTTTAGTATTGTTTGGTTTTCTATCTTCTTGATTTTCCATGACTCTGATTTAGAATATTTGAAGGAAGAAGATTTTGTTGTTCTTTCTGCTTTTTTTAGATACAGTAGAGAAAGAGAGATAATATCGTGTGTCATTGAAAAGGAGAAAGAGTTTGTGTTTTGCTTTTAAGTGTTATATTAGTTTTAAATTCATGTTCCCCTTTGTTTTGTGTGGTCATGATAATTAATATTAAATATGGACCAAGTAATATGTATGACTTGCATTCTTGAATCTAGAAACTAGTTATTTTTGTTTTAATCTCTTATCGTTATTTTTCTAGATAAATATTCCTTATTATTGTTATAAACAAAAGGAATCAGAAATTGATAGCATGATAAGAGAAAAGGCATTTACACTTTATTTGTTATTTGATGTTGCATATATATTACTAGCTTTTTTATTATCTTCCTTTATATTATTATTTAATGTATTGCCACATGTCTTAATCATGTTGGTCAAATTTTATAAAAAAAGGAAAAATCATGTGGTGATACTGAAAGTAACGACCCCCGCGCATATATATATATATATATATATATATATATATATATATATATATATATATATATATATATATATATATATATATATATATATATATATATATATATATATATATATATATATATATATATATATATATAAATTCAATTCTCTACAAATTTGTCTCTGAGTTCAAGTCCAAAAAATGCAGCATGAGCAAATGACTGAGGTTCAAATTGACTCTTAAACCATGGTCCAATAACCCAAAATATCAAGCTTGCTCAATTTGAACCTCAGTCATTTGCTCAAAATTTCTCAACTTGCAAATGTCATAATTTACTCAATTTTTATCTTCATACACCTCATAATTCATTCATATACCCTTTGAACTTGTTTTATTTTAGTTATTTTTATTATTTTTGATTTAATTCATTAATAATATAAAATAAATAAGATAATATTGTATCTTATTACAAGAGTCCAAGCCCATCATTTTGTTGCCCTAATTTTCTCTATATATTCATAATCAAGAGAAGAAACCTAGGACACACGAAATCCTTTCCTATCAATATTGTCAAAAAATAGCAATTTTTTCTCAAGAACCCTAAGTCTTGAAAACCCTATTTTCAAGCCTCCTCACCACCAAACCTCCATTCCATTCACTTCCAGGAACATTGAAGGGTAAGATTGGATCGGTTAACATGATCCAAAGGACCTGAGCCAACATAAATGCACCATCGTTTTTCATTATTTCATAATTTTTGTATTTTTGTTTTTATGATGTTTTAACGCACACTAACACCACTAACGTGCTCCTGAGATGCTAACGTGCAGGTTTGATTCATCGCATGAGTCCCATGCTATATGAACCATGAATGGCCATGGTCAAACTGATTCATGTTATTTTTACCATACCTCTTAAACCAGGACGAATTAGACTTCAAAAAATACCCTTATTGGTTATATATTATATATTAATCGTTTCAATAATATAAACAGATGAAACAACCACCCATGTGTAGAAGCGCGCGCGATAAAACATTAGTCTCAAAGGGCTTGTGTTCGATCCAGCCTTTTGATATTTTGCTTCTTTAATTTCTCATATTTTTGTAAGTTGATTATAAGATATGTTGGAGGCGTTACCTTGACATCAAGGCGCGCTTGGCTTGGTGGTATGCTTGCTGCTGAAATTGCTTGAGGGCGTGGGTTCTACACCCACCCCTACTCATTTGGTCATTTTTTCCTAATTCTATGTTTCTCTCTCTTTTACAAATATTTTTCAAAACTCTTTCTTTAAAACAAAACCCTAATTTTTATTTTTAGGTTTTCTAATTAATTTTAGGTTTTATTAACACTAATTTAGTTTTAGGTTTTTTGTTAACAAACCCTAAGTTAATTTTTTAGGTTTTCTTAATTAACTTAAAATCGACCTAGATTTTAGGGTTTGCCTAATTAATCGATTCTTTTTAATCAACAATTTATTTTCATAAATTAAAATCAATTAGACTTTAGGTTAATCGTCAAGTTTTTTTATCAAACAATTTTTCTCTTATTTTACATTTTTCGCGTACCTTTATTATTTTCGCATTTAGTATTTTTCCCGATTATGTAACTGCTACAGTATGTAATAGTTTAATTAGGGTTTTACTTTCCTTTCCCCCCGATTTTATGGTTTTGTACCCCCTTTCCCCGAAGCTTTGTAATAGCGTAGGACTTTTAATTTCTACCTTTACTGCTTTCCTTATTACTGTTAGTAATTAGGGTTTGTATGGCAAGACTAAAAACAATCTAGAAAACCCTAATCACGAGATTAAATAACTAAATCAAATCACTATTCACACACTCACCTCTAGGGTAACCTCACTCGTTGCCTCAGAAAACAGTCATGTCCCTTGAACATGGGGACGCTTTAGCAAAGTCCATCCGATTAAAAAGATTGTAGTCCCTCGATGACCCTTCGATGCTACCTTCGATAAACAATCTTAGTCCCTTACAATAAAATTGCTAAAGTTCCCTACGAGTTTTCTTTGATGACTGTATGATGACTCGCGCCTATCCCTTCACATCCAACGATAGGGCTTCCTACTAACTAATGGTAGGATAACACTATCTAAGGAGGAGGAAAATAACACGAAAGATCTTTGAGTAGGTAGATAGCTCGTAATCTCTTGCTCACAAAAACAAATACTTCTTCACCAACACTTTCTCTTAAATATTTTCAAAAACAAACACTTTGTATGTGTTCTCAACTGATACGAGAATCATTACAAAGTTTTTCGTACTTATGCATTTTGAAAATATTTTCAAACACATACACAAAAGCATTTCAAACAAAGTGGGGTAGTGATTAAGAGTCCGTAGATAACTACGGATGAAAATGATGCTAACACCTTCCCTTTTCATAACCTACCCCCCGAACTCAGAAAATTCTCCAAGGTCTTTCCTGTTCTTTTCACTCTTTCCCTATTGGATAAAAGAAAATCTGGTGACGACTCTTGTTATCTGTAATATTTGCGATAAAATGCAAAACCAAGTCAATTCTCCAACCGTATTACAAAGTCAAAAATAACGACAAGCAAATATTTAACGAGCGTCAACGAGAGCATAAAGGCATAAAAACAAAGTAAAAACATTTATAAATGCCGACCATGAGGGCCGATGTTGTCTAAATATTACAAAAATCATGGGCACGCAGGCCCCCAATACAAACAACCAAGTTATATGAGAAACACTAGTCACTCCGTGGAGTGCTAACTTCAATCTCTACCTCAGGGGAATCAGGAGAAGGAACCACCCTGCCATCGACCACTTAAGAGAAAACCCTGGCACCATCAGTGTTAAGTTCTGGATTTAATATTGACAGCTGAACCAATGTGGTCTCGAAGCCTTCGGCTAAAGCATCAATGTAATCTAACTGGAAGACCTGAATCTGAGCAATAAGCTCCGCACGGGTTCGCAAATCAGTGACTCCCTCAAGCTCTTCTTCCACGGGCAGCATGACAGCCCTTAAATCGGCGATCTCCTTCTCCATGTGTTCCCTCTCTAGAAAAAGGGATTCCCTTTCCTTGCAAGCTTTGATTACCTTTTCCTTCTCCCTGGCCAACTCGTCAGTCTGCCCCCAAAACATCTCCTCACTTCACTCGAGGGAAGTCTTTAGTATTCGTGTCTTTGCCTGGAGATCCACTTTCTCTGATTCCAGCTCCTTCACCAGGCCCAAAGAGCCATCTCCCTCACCTGCAAGGAAGAAGACCGTCTCCGTGACCTTTATCGGGTCGACCATGCCCGAAACCAGATGTTTCCTTCGGCCCTCCTCGTCGAGGCGCCTGATGACATCAACTTCTCCATCAGACACAGTAAAAGGGAAACCTTTAAAGAATTCTTTTTCAACGAAGTAAGGGGGAAGGGTGAAGGCCTTAGCAACTCGAGCAGCTACCCCCTCCTAAGTCAAATCTTCAGGTCCACCTTCAAGACGACTTCTCTTCTTACTCAACACGGTCGTATACTGCACAATGTCACGAGTACCTGATGACCCGCTCGACCCATCCCTGTGTGAGCAACCCCTTCATAGATTGATTTTGAATGATTGCAAAGATGATATAACATGTTTGAATAAGCCAAAATTACATTTCTCTCATAATGCATCATTATGAGTCGACACATCAAGTTTTGTATCGATACATAGCTTTCTGAAGTCCCTGGACTTGTATCTCAAAACTATTATGTATCGATACAAAAGCTTGAGTCGATACATAACTCTTTGATGATCCTGGAATGTAAATCTAAAAATTACATGCATCGATACATAAATTTCATGCATCGACATATAATATTTTGACGCCCTTGTAATACTTGTATGAATCGACACAAAATCTTATGTATCGACACAAAACATTCTGATGATCCTGGAAAACATTTTGAAACTTATATGTATCGATACATAATATCATGTGTCGACTCATACTATGTTTTAAATTCAAAAGTTAAATTTACAATCAGTATGTATCGACACATATGCATTATGTATCGACACAAAACATTCTGATAATCCTGGAAAACGTTTTGAAACTTATGTGTATCGATACATAATATCATGTGTCGACTCATACTATGTTTTAAATTCAAAAGTTAAATTTACAATCAATATGTATCGACACATACGCATTATGTGTTGACGGGTATAAAAGTGTTGGTTCTGTAAAACGCTATAACAGGTTTCTGTATCGACTCAAAACATAATGTATCGACTCATCCTGTTACATATAACTAACATGAGTCGACACATGACCAACATGCATCGACTCATAGCACTTTCTTTTTT